GCAAACTGGGGCTCTGCATCTGTCACCAGGTCAGATAGAGTCAGGTGGCTTGTTTTAGTCAGCAGTGGTGTGATTCAGGTCCTCATGCTGAAAAGAAGCAATAGAAGTCCACTTGGTTGGGACTGTGCTGAAATAGTCTGTGTTCACATTCTATAGGTTTTGTGAAAGAAAGCTGATTGTTTGGCTGTAAAGTGGAGCTGATAGAGATCAATGAGAGGACCTGGATGTTCTGAAGAAACTGAAAACTTAGTTTAGAAGCAGAACAGGTATTTTATTCTAGGCATGTTTCACAATGTACAGGCTGTTGGAATGGCTTTTAAATACTTTAAATGCTGTGTCTGTTTCCGCATTATAGGATGACCTGCCAGCTCCTTCCAGAACCACACTTAAAGGAGACTAAATGAAAGCTTTGCGGTGAAGTTTTTAGTTTGAACTCCATATATAGATTTAGTAAACCATAATTTCAGAACATCTCAAATTACCAAAGTCTGAACTCTAAACTTGTGGTAACTAGCAAGTTACTTAGTATCTGTCCATAACAAATTTCTGCAGTGCATCAGAGCTTTTTAATGTAAAAAGCAATTCAGTGCAGTAGAGCAGCTTTGTACTACAGTGATTTCATGACTTGGAACCTGAGGTTTGTAACACCTTAGTGTAGGTGTCCCTGTGTTTCTGTTCTTCACAGTTCAGCTGCCCATGCCAGTGTGCACAAGCTTTCAGAGGAACAGCACTGTCACAAACGTGCACAGGGTGACACTTCTGTGCCCCAACAGTGATTTTTAAGCCTCTTATCAGTCTGTGTGTACAGAGCACTGTGGTCTGTGGCTGGTGGTGCTGCTTCCTCTCTCTGCAACTTAAATATTTAGTTTTGAGGTTCTACATTTTTGGTAGTTTTAATACTTTTCTAAAGACACTTTGTTTGTAATATATAGCCTTGGTATATTATGCAGGACATAAAAAAAAAAACACCTTAGGTGTTTCCACCACCGATACATAAGAGTTGCTAAAGAATTGTCTTGATCCCCTTCACCTCACTCCCTTCCCTTTTCAGTCCCAAAATTATGATGATGCCATTAAAATGGACTATTACTGGATATGACCAGAACCAGGGTGAAATATGAGCGCTGTTGTACTTCCCATCAGATGAAGCAGGCTTTGAGTGGAAATGGATGTGGCTCTCTGCTCTCTGTATTCTAAAAGGTGCTGAAGACCAAGATAATGGAATAATGCAGCTTGTGTGCACTTGGTTTGAGTTCAGGCAATTATCTGAAATGGGTAATACTGAAGTTATAGAGAAAAAAATATAGCCAGACACAACAAGAAGTACATAAATATGGCCTCTGATTAAAAACTTACTCATTGAGCCTTATAGTTTTTTAATAATAACTTTTCTCCAATTTGTAAAGATGAATTAAAACAATTCTTTTTAAGAAGTATATTCTCAGTTCTTCGAAGTGGACCATGTTGCATGCTGTTCCACATACAGGCAGAACCCACAGAGTTTAGAATCATAGAATCATTAAGGTTGGAAGGGACCTTAAAGACCATCAAGTTCCAAACCCCCTGCCATGAGCAGGGAACCCTACCACTAGACCAGGTTGCACAAAACCTTGTCCAAGCTGGCCTTAAAAACCTCCAGGGGTGGGGCATCAGCAACCTCCCTGGACAACCAGTTCCAGTTCCTATTAACTTCCTTAATAAAGAAAATGTAAAACAGTTACTTCTGAGATAATTTGTCTCTGTAAAACCTGTTAAATGAATGTCATCTTCCATTGCATCCTCTAATAATACCAGATAAAATGCTGTAGTTTAGATTGAAATATTTGGGCATAACTTGGTGTTCTTGATGTGCATCCTTTCCATTTGTTTCTCTACATTGATTTTTGCTATCATATCAATTAAATACAAAAGACAATTAAAAGTGAACCAGAGCACTTACTTCACAGAACTTCTTACAGTTACATATTAACATTTTTGGCCTCTGCTTTGTTACACACCCTTTTCTGTACTGGTATTTCTTCCTAAGCTGAGGTAACCTGAATGGGTTTCTTGGGTTACTGTGCAATCATTTGGCTCTGTTTTCCTCTGTGGCCATACATGTATGCAGGGTGTGGAGAGGAACAAGGAACAGATTCCCTTTCTGAACTAGTACTACTTGTATGTATAGCTTGGCTGCCCTGAGCCCTGGCTTCTTCTGCTGCCTGCACCTTCCCCTTGGGAGTGAGGTGAGAGAGAGAGCTTTTCAGTAACTAGAAGAATAAAAGCAGCAGTGGGGGGTTATCCAGAAGAGGAAGGGGCAGAGGCTGTTTGTGTCTGCCTGTGGCACAGGCAGACAGCAGGAGCCTGGCTGTGGGGAGCCCTTGCAGGGGGCTGTGCAGCCTGCAAGCTTCCAGATGCTCTTTTTGAGGTGCTGTATCACGGGCCTGTCTGCTGCTGGTGGGCTAAGTTTAAAAAGCCTAAGCAGTACATGCAGGTAGGCAGTTGCTGCTGCTCAGCATTTGTCTGCAGTGAGTTTGAATGCAAAGTGTATCTCAAGTGACTTGCCTCCTTGCTCTGCCACCAATCCCTATGATCAGTCAGTGTGATAAACTCTGCTTTCTGAAGAGCAGCTTGTGTAAGAAGATCCAAGATACCGTAAATGTGTATTTACTAGCTGGTCTGTGCCGGCGGGAGGTGCCGGCTGCCCCTAATCCCTATGATCAGTCAGTGTGATAAACTCTGCTTTCTGAAGAGCAGCTTGTGTAAGAAGATCCAAGATACCGTAAATGTGTATTTACTAGCTGGTCTGTGCCGGCGGGAGGTGCCGGCTGCCCCTGCCCGGCAGGCTGAGCCCGGGCACAGCTCGCTGCTCCTGCTGCCCCGCCGACCTGCCCAGGCCGGCCTCGCTCTCCCTTCTGTTCCAGGGTGTATCGTTTTGGATGCTGAGCTGCCTTGAGTTTTCTGCACAGAAATCCCTCTGCCAGCTCAGAAAAACCACCAACAAACTAGACTGGGATTCTCCCAGGAGAAACTTCCCCTGCCTCTCAGCCAAGTGAACTTTCAGTCCTGCTGTAGGACTTCATTGCTATAGTCCTCCTGTATAGGGTCAGTCCTGCTCTCTGAACTTTTCAATGTAGCTGAAAACACAGCTTGAATCGTCCCACAGTAGCTCAGTGTGCCAGCCCATGCCTGTCTGCTCCTTCCCCGCTGCATTTGTATAGGAGCAGGGCAGAAGCCATCCAAGTCCCCCAGACTGACGCCAACTCTTCAGTAAGGTTGTGGCCGATGTATTGAAACAACTTGGTTTTTAATGGACAGTAAAGAGGCAGTGGGGTGTGCCATGAATCACATTATGGCTTGCAGGCTAATTTGTTATGACCTACTCATACTACTTGAGTTTTCCTTCAGAAGCGCCTGCATTAATAATGAGTAACTCAGAGCTGATTTACCAGCTGAATTTAATTTTGAATCCAAGTGACTTAAAGGGTGATCTTAATCACAGTTTAAATCAGCAAAATCCTTTATTTAAATAAAATATATTTAATTATAAATATAGCGATTATTAGTAACTTTCTTGAAGCAAACTAGATTTTAATTGAGTAACAACTATAAAAGTACAATGGTTTGCAGCTAGCTAAAGCTTTTGTACAGTGTGCTATCTAGGTGGTGTTTTATTTTACTATTTACTGTTTACTAGTGTAACATTTTCCTCTATGCTCACCCAAATTCTGGACTTTTATTTTAAGGATGGTGAAGAACATATTCTGACTTGATCCAAGTTGTACTTACACAGAGGATTTCCACATCAGTTTAGATATACAAGTTGTCTTTAAGACAAACAGAGCTCAAGATCTGCTGGATTGGGAAGGATTCCTAGTGCATACTTTTGCATTTGAAAGCAGTTTAACTGAACCAAATCCTTTGGGATATTTTGGAACAGATGATCGATCCCCCTCAAAGCTTATGTATAACCAGAGTGGTAGAGAAAGAGACACTGCAGTCCATCAGCTTCTGATCTTTGTAGCTACTACTGACTGAAGTAATTAAATATATTGAAATAAGCAAAAGAACCCTTTTGACAAGGCTATGCTTTTGGCACTTGCAAAGTTTTCATGTGTTTCTTTGAGGGTGACTTGTGACAAGCTAATAGCTCAACCCATCTGTATAATGTGCAATATGTGGTTACCTCTGTCAAGCTTTTGGAGGGCTATAAATCACCAAGTGGCATGTAAGAGGTGAATGGTGATTATTTTTTGTCCTGTCCCGTAAGAAATGAGAAGTATCAAGCTCATAAGAGTGACTTTCAAAGGAAAAGAAGGTGATTCTTCCTGCAGTGAGTAGGGGAACTAGGGAGCTCTCTGTTGTGGACTCTAGAAGACTGTTGGCTTTATATGGCTGCACTGACCAGTTTAGTTGTTTTTCTGCTATTTCAGTTTGTATTATTTTAAAACTTGGACAAACAATATTTTGCCTGAATTTTCAAATTTATGTTTACTTAATAAAAAATTCTAAAATATGCAATATTTAAGAGTGTTTTGTTGTTTTTTTCTTTTAAAGATTAAACCTGCCTTGATTATGATAAACATCTCTGATTTGGCTGCAGAAAAGAAGACCTGGAGAAGAAAGTCTTGCAATGTGTGAAACTGTGACATGCCTGGAAATATGGGATATCCTATCACACATCTCTCCTGCCTGATGAGGACTGGGACAGGACCAGGGAAGATACAGCTGCATAGCTCTGTCACAGCCTCACACCTTCCTTGAGGCCAGACTAGTTTTGCTGGGAGGACTTAAAACAAAATGAAAGTCTGAAATGAGCCACTGTCTGGAAGGACTCTGATGTTACAAGTGCTTTTTGTACAGTCAGCCAAAGTGCTATGTCTCTGCTCTGAAGGACTGGGATGCAAACTAGCTCCAGTTCAGGTACCGCTTTGATGCAGCTTCCAGTTGGACATCTCCAGAGTCTGCTCTGTGACCCTCAGACCTCAGCTGGATGTTTTTTCTGCTTGCTCCTGCCCTATCTCAACACCTCAAGACATCTCTTTCAAAACTATTTGTCATTTGAGCTCTGCTGTGTGACTGTGAGTGTTCGTAGTGTGATTATTTTGGTCGAGAATTACTGATCTGTGACTTTTTATTTAATTTATTTATTTATTTGGGGGGAGGTATTACTTCAAGTGAGGATAGCATTTCAACAAAATGAAGTATTTAGAATAAGTTCATAGCTGATATTTTGGATTTCTTTAAGCTCATTCTGCAGATGAGATGGAAAAAGCATCTGCAATCTCTTTTTACTCTCCTGTCACTTCAAGTAAAAAATATTCATCTGTTGAGATGATTACACGGTAAGATACAACATGTTCAGAAAACTTTCCCTATAATTTTCACAGATTTCTTTTTTCCCCCTGCCATTCTTGCCCAAAATGCTGCTTCTATTTGCAGGCATTTGGCCGGTTCTGTAAAAGCTTCATGTCAAGCCCAGCGAGTCCTTTACTGCCTTGGTGGGTAAGAGCATCTGGGCAGTGTTCCCAGTACTCAGCTGCTCTAGTAGCTGTTGTCTGCAGCTCCTCAGGGACTTCTGGTCACTTCCAGACTTCATTTAACTTTTGAGTAATTCCTAGGTGAGAATGAGGAATGCACTCACTGCCCAACTCTACCATATTGCCCTGAACAGGGAGCAGCAAGGCACTGAATTCTGGTTGACTACTTATAGTGGATCTGAGTTTCTGAGGCTTTTTTAATTTTTAAGTGAAGGAGTCTTCTGTAATATTTCAGTGCAAGGGATGATTTACTTGTTTCCTTCCACTTCTCATCCTTACGTAATTGTTCTTAGTTCTGACTATGTACTAGGATTGTGTGCTTTAAGTAATATATCTTATAAAAGAAGTGGCTGCCTGGGTTCTTCAGGGTAATAAAATGGACGACAATGTCAAGTATCCTGCTTTCATGTTGTCTGCTAAATGTAGGATGGTAGGATGGCAACCAAGGAAACAAAGACAAAGGAGTAGTTCAGCTAGTTGTTTTTTGTGTTTGGGTTGGTTGCTTTTTTTGTGGTGGGTTATTTTTTCTTTGTTTGTTTTGTTTTTGAGGGATTTTTTTTTAGTCACTTTGCTGAATATATGAATCATGGAATAGTGTGAGTTGATTAAAAATTAGATCATACAAATTTTCTATGAGAGAAAAAACATGAGTAGCATAACTTAAATGGCAGAATATGAACCTTTTAATCTTAAAGCTGAGAAAGAACCTTTAATATAAATGCGGCTTGTTAGCCTGCTGGGGATTCCTTAATTTGCTTCCCTGAAGAGATGAGGTGTAAGTTAAGTAACCACAAGGTGTTAATAGACTAAGTGAACCTGATCTTCATCTGTGATTGACTTTAGCTGCAGAGGTTAAAAGCTTATGTTCTTTATCCTCCTGCCTGTAGCCACTTCTAGTTTTCTTTCTTTTTAGCTCTGCTCAGTCTGTCACTGGCACTCATGACAGCCTGAGGCTCACAAGGAGCTTTATAAAAGCTATTAGAGCTGCAGCTTTGTGTCCTGGTACTTCCTCCTCTCTATCCTTAGAGACAGGCACAGGTTGGCCACTCTGATATCTGAAGTGATTAGGATCTTGTGCCATGGTTGGGTTCCTAGGTTTTGCTGAAACTGTACAATATCTATTAATGAAGACATTGTTAAAACCCTTATTCAGATACTGGCAGCAAATGTGAGAGCTAGTGATGATCAGACACAAACTCTCCCCGTGAGGCTATGAGACCCTGCATGGGATTTGGTCACCATCAGTAATTCCTGTCGGATCTGCCTGTGTAAATTAGTTTGAGTTCAGTTTAGTTCATAATAAAGGCAGTAAAATTGCCATGGCAGCTGACACTGACCTCACTGGAGTAGCTGAAATGTGATGTAATCAGGAACACAGACTCCCCCTTCCATCATGTTTAATAGCCCTGTGTCCAAAATAGCGCTGAGTGGATGTAAGAAAAAAAATCTAGAACTGCCACTGTTGCTGGGGCTTGCTTTATCCTGTGGTTGGGTAGAAAACTGTGTTTTGAAGATAATTGGGCTGTGTGGTACTTGCAGGGCTCTGGGTTGCCAGCCCAATAAAATAATCTCTGACTTTAGAGTAGTTAAATATGTAGAATGTATTTTCCCTTTTACAGCACATTTACTTAAATCCTGTAGCAGTAAATGTCAGGCGTGGGCTCAGAATATAGATGCCTGTAGCATCTTATATACATACACTTTTACATTCATTAATATGTAATTGAAAAACAAAAAAAAAAAACATTTTTCCAGTAATAGGCCTTTTCTTCCTTAGTCAGTAAAATGAAAGAGTTATGATTTATGCTTCCCTGTCCTGACTGGATACATTGAAAAATGGAAATAATGATGAGGCTGTGGCTCAAACATGAGATTTCACAGTAAGAATGGCTTGGCTGTTCCTCAGATTTTCTTTGAGACCTCCAGAAAGTCACTTTTAACCTCTTAATTTCCACTGCCTGTACAGTATGACTGTTAGTGCAAAGGGACTGTGCTGGGGTTTTGTTAACAGGTAAGACTATTAAAACTTCCTGATTCAAGCATCATGTACTGTAGTCCTCCAGTGGACAGAACATCATCTTTTGCATTAACTCTCTGCAATATGAATTTTTACTGAAGGCCTCCAAATATACATCCTCTCATGTCCTGGTCCCTTCCATCCCCTTTCCCGCCTCTCCCTCCCCCCCTCCCCAACATTTTTAAAAGGCAGTTAGGTATGGTGATTGAAGCAGGGACCAATAGTTGATTTTTAATCCTTCTTTCTTTTTTTCCTTCCACTTTTCCTACAATGCAGGGGCTTTAATCCAGGATGAATGAATGCTACTATGATAAACGCATGGACTTTTTCTATAACAGGACAAACACTGACACAGTAGATGAGTGGACAGGGACACAGCTTATTGTTGTTCTGTGTTTTGGGACATTTTTCTGCCTCTTCATTTTCATTTCAAATTCATTGGTAATAGCAGCTGTGGTCAAGAACAAGAGGTTTCATTTTCCCTTTTACTATCTCCTGGCCAACTTAGCTGCTGCAGACTTTTTTGCTGGAATTGCCTATGTCTTCTTGATGTTCAACACTGGCCCCGTGTCCAAGACGTTAACTGTTAACCGCTGGTTTTTGCGTCAGGGCCTTCTGGACACCAGCCTGACGGCTTCCCTGGTGAACCTCCTTGTCATAGCTGTCGAGCGGCACATGTCGATAATGCGGATGAAGATCCACAGCAATCTCACAAAGAAGAGAGTCACCTTTTTAATTATATCCATTTGGGCCATTGCTATTTTCATGGGTGCTGTTCCTACCCTGGGCTGGAACTGCCTCTGTGACATTACTGTCTGCTCATCCCTGGCACCTATTTACAGCAGAAGTTACCTGGTGTTCTGGAGTGTCTTAAACCTAGTGGTTTTCTTCATTATGGTGGTGGTTTACATAAGAATCTACATGTATGTCCAGAGGAAAACTAACATTTTGTCATCGCACACTAGTGGATCCATTAGCCGTAGGAGAACCCCTGTGAAGCTTATGAAGACTGTCATGACTCTCTTAGGTAAGAGACTACAAATGATTGTGTGCAAGACTGGCACTGCCAATGAATGGATTTTAGTGTTGGTTTCGTTTTGCTTGTTGTTTTTTTTAAACAAAAGAAAAAAAACCCCAACAACTAGACCCTGTAAAACAAACCAAAAAAACCCCAAACATCCCAAGCTTTTAAGTGCTGGAGGCATTGAGACTTCTGTCTGCTTTAGGTAATGAAATAAATGTTGCACCCTGCAGAAATTCAAAGTAAAGGGCTGGTCAACACGTAGAACAAGTGTCTCTTTTGTAGGCCGCTTGTTATACAACACAAATGATCTACAGGTTTTTTGCAGGGTGGAAGGATAATACAAAATCACTGCAGAAAAGTGTGTGAAGATTCACAACTGCAGAGTAAAACATTTTCAAAATCATCTTCATAAATATCTGCACAAGGCCCTGAATCTTGGGGCTGGATGTGGCTTTGTTTTCTTTGCACTTCTTCCTCTTGTATGTTTCTGAAACATACTAACATCTTCCCCCTGGAAATCCCTAGGGAAAGGAGAGGATGCCTGGTGGGACTGTCACTTTGGCAGAGATTTGCTTTGCAAGGAGAGAATTCACCTTCATTCTGTGAAGATTGTGTAGTGCAAAATATTTGCAGGTGCTGATGTGGTATGGCCTTGGATCTCTAGATTGTAACATGAGATTTGACTTGGATTCTGCCTTGGAGACACTGTTGATATTTGGGCAATTCAGATCTCTTCCTCAGCTTGTGATGTAGCTTCTTCTTAAATTAGAGATGCACAGAGCAAATGCTTAATTGTTGGAACAAGATACTAGCTGTAGCAATAAGTTTTTCTCAGGAAGACTTGAATCTGAGTAAGATGTTTTGTGGAAGCCAGACGTCATGTGAGAGTGCGAGGTTAACAGTTGAACTTGGTGATCTCAAAGGTCTTTTCCAACTAAAACAAAGCAATTCTAAGATCTACCACAAACTCTTGTGTCAGTGGAAGAGTATCTTGGCATGTTCCTCATATCAGTTCTCCACATTTTGACTCTGAAAAGCTTCTTAGAAATGTTTACTTCTAGCAATGAGAATTCATTTTTTTAAAACAGTTGGAAATGTGCATTTCTGGCCAAGTCATTCAAGCACACTGTGCAAAATATATTAGAAACTGTATAGCATGTTTTCTGGGCTTTCCAGTTACCAAAGGAGTCACCAGGTAACCAAAGTGATTCTTCCTAAATTCTGCTTATGTCCACCGATGCAACAACCCCCAGCTATACATAGCATGTAGATTTTGCCCAAGGCAGCTTTTAATGCCTTGTTCCAAGACATCTGAAAATACTTTGGAACACACACCTGGTACAGTCTTAACTAAAAGTGATTCCAAGATACTCTGTTGCTGGATGAAGCATGATGAGAACCCGAGTTCTTGTTGAAGTGTTGGTTTCATGGGAGGTTCAGGACAAAATCCTGCTGCTGTGTGCAAGGAGGCTGCATATAGCTGGGTGGGCTGCTCCTCATGTGCCTCCACCACCCTTCTTGGGGAGCTTGGACCTGTGGCCAGCTACCCCCCAGCAAAGCATCACTGTTGTCTCTGGATGTTCCCCTCTTGTGGTCCTACAATGAGGAGTTGGGGGAATCTGGGTTTCAGTGTGACTTCATGGAGTCATGGTGATCTAAGCTGCAGGTGGCTCTTACACCACCCTTTCTAGAAGCCCCTTCTAGAGGCTGGATCTCAGGTCTCTGCCATCTGCCTTTTTCTAATATAACCCAGGTTTGGAGCAAGGCTTTCCCTTTGGCATGCAAAACTGTAGGAAGTTATCTAGGTGAAACCTAGCAAAAGGGGCAAAGCTCTTCTTTGGCTGACACTGTGACACAGTGTCACTCTAGCTGTGGAGAAGGGTGGTTGCAGGTGTGTGGATATGTGATTTTCAGGTGGTGTGTGTGTGTGGTAGCTCATCTGAACTTGGCAGTGAGATTCCTGC